AGATAGGGACCCCTTAAACCTACACCTGGGTCGCAAGTCCCAGTCACTGTTGAAGCTCCTCTCACTACAAAGATGGACCCGACACACGCACGGTGAATACATTGAATGATGAAAAGTTTCGTCTCATGTACCTTTTAACCAGTAACTTTTAAGTTTTAACCTTAAACTTCACATAATATATTTTATATTTTAACTTCACCAAGCGTCATATCTCCCGGTGTCACTGTTCCCGCCAACGAGGTGTAAATTAAAAAGTTTTTCGCGTTCCGTTAGCAACATTAATCTTTCATTTCCAGCGTTTACTTTACTGCTGTTTCGTGTCTGAATTTACTAATTAAGTGATAGAAAGTTTAGTTTTTTTCCAACACCGGACCGTAGCGGCGTCATAGAAGTAATTTTTGTGCGTTATTTTTAGTCATTATATTATTTATCTGCGTTTAGTTTTTGCACAGATGATATGAAAGTCTGGGTCTGAATGCCACTCGCATTCCTGACGCCGTCCGAAAGTGAATATCTGTTATCCGTAAGAAAGTTCGGCGAGCGTATCATTTTGATAATTAATTTTTTCGTAGCGATGATAATTACGAGTAATGAGCCTAATTATTTAGTTTTTTAGAAGCTCTACTATATATTTCAAACATCGCGTATTATAATATTAAGTTATATAATTGATATCTTAAGTAATAATCATTAGGATTTAATGAGGTACTATGTAATTAATTTTATGATAATCGATTTTTTTGTCAGTCATTGCAGTTTTTTATAATTTAAAACTTAGCGTTTGCCATCCGTAGCGACGTTATGCCATAGCCCATATATATATAGTAATTAATGTTGTAAAAACCGGGTATAGTATAGTATAGTAAAAACCGGGAATATGTAAACTAATTAATAATTTTCTCTCATTAACACTATTTATAATATAATTTAGAGTCAATATTTTTGATGTACTTATAAAATCATAACGCACGTGTTACAGTTTCAATGCGTGTGGTATTTTATAAATATCTTTTGTTAACATCGTTCCTTCGTACTCATTTTTCTACATTTCGATTAAGAAAAAAATTAATTGTTTAGGCATAAACCGTGGAAAAATCTTAAATCTACTAAAACATTGCAGGTATAATATGCTCAAATAAGTAAACTCAAATAAGAATGAAAAATGAAAATCTAAAAGAATTGTAAGTTGTGTGTAATTTTAATTCTCAATATGAAATCAATAAATGAAAACAATTGCACTTGATCTCTTTATTTTCCAGTTGCTTTTCATATTTTATATCGATGTTATATATAATTGGAATCTCGGAAGAGGCTTCAACCATTTTCATAAAATTTAGTATATAGGTTATTTCGGGGAGATAAATCGATCTAGCTAGGGATCATTTTTAGAAAATTTCACTTTATGAAAACAAGATACCAAAAAGAAGGCGTTTAAAATATGACTCTTCCTGACATCTATCGGCGAATAATAATACTACTTTTTGATAATTGCTTTAACAACACAACAGCAGATGGCGTTGTTGAGCAAAAGGAAGTCAATGAGTGTTTGTATTGAGGTTAGACTAAGAAATTAATTTTTGATTTAGGTATATTGTTTTGACGTGATAACGTCTTTAAAATCGTTTTAGTCGGGTGACATGTTCAGAATTTGTGTCACTCCAAAACCTCACGAGCGCGATCGCAGGTATAACGAGAGAGAGAGAGACGGAAGATCGGTCCACTCACTCGAACGCTATGCCTGCCTCCGCTCGTGAGGATTCCGCGTGACAAGTTTCACGGAATGACTGGCAGCGCTCGAGATGAGACGGGAGCGACCAATCACAATGCAAGAAACCATTCTCATGTGTCAAGTTGGTTAAGGCGCGTAATACAAATTCAAACATTTAAAATTAGTATTGATTTCAATTCAAATTTTAATTCTAATTGATTGAATATCATTTATCGATAATTTAAACGGAATTATAATACCAAATTAAAATCTCTCATTTGTCAAAACCCTGTATTCTAACCTACGATTCGAGCGACCAATCACAATGCATGAAATAATTCTCATGTGCCAAGTTGGTAAAAGCGCGTATTACAAATTCAAACATTCAAAATTAGTATTGATTTCAATTCAAATTTTATTTCTAATTAATTGAATATCACTTATTGATAATTTAAACGGAATTAGAATTATTTAAACAAATTTCAATCCTAACTAATATTATAAATGCGAAAGTGAGTTTGTTTGTTTGTACTTGACATTTTACACCCGAAATTTATCATCAAAAGTGTGAATAAAACGATAGATGTAATTTAAAATTTGAAAAAAATGTTATCTTCATTAATTCCTTACTTCCCAAAAACTTATATCACCAATAAGACGTTATCACGTAAACATCTCGATCGTAAACCTACTTTACAAACAACCAATTTTTTTTTCTTCTTATCGTATTCACTTAAAAATGCCTAAACGAAATAAAAAAAACAAAATAAGTACTAATAATTCCAGGTGTCCAGATGTTAATATTTATATATAATAAACATTGTTGCCAAAATGATATGAAAGTAGTTTGTTATTATAAATTGGAATATGTAAATATCATTCTGAAAAGGGATCTTAAATTATTAATTTGTGCAATATGTGATACTTAAGTATCAGTAAAGCGATGGTAATTTTGAATAAGTTATACCATACTGTCTTTAAATTGTTTGAGCATTTAAAACACATAAATTTGAGTATAATATAGGTGAGAGTTGGTTATATCGTACTAGCATTTAAATCGTACCACTTCTAAATTTCCCATTTAATGAATATTTTTTTCTACGCTGACAACGCCAAATCGTGGCCCTAGACCATCCCTCTTCACTCACTAGTTTAAATCGACGTGAGTTAACAACTGTGCACGTAATAAAAGAAACTTTTTTTTGTAAGAATTAATATAAATATTGTCGTACATTCGTAAGGAGATAACTCGTAATCAAGGTAAGCTATAGTTATTCAGTTTTTTATTATTATTCCACAATTGTATACTAGATTATTGGGGGTTTTTGTTGCGTGTCTAAGTTTTGAGTTTATGCCGGATATTTGTTTTTGTTTTAGAAATGCCTTAGTTGGTTTAATCGTACCACTTGCAGTTGGTTAAATTGTACTGGTACAATTTACCCGACTACCCACCGCAAGTACCTATAGTACTACTGCAAGTACGTATAGTAAGTACTACCGAAGGCCAAAAACAGAAGTTATTAGAGGAAACGATCTCATTCCATCACCAGTAGCGATGATTCAGGAGAGACACTTGTTGTAGAACTAGATGATGATGATGACAGCGATGATTACCTTGAATATATATGTCGAAAGTGCAATTGTTCTTACTGCGATAAGAATTGTCCAAAAGTTGATTGGATTCAATGCGTTCGCTGTAAAAGGTGGCTACATGAGACGTGTACTTCGAATCCAGACATTTGTCATGAGTGTTTCCATTAAGAAATATGCTCAATAATTATATTACAAATAACATTCTTGTTAACTGTTTCTTTATTATTATTGTTTACTGGTTTTTTTTGTCTCATTTTTATTAGTTATGTTGATTGATCTCATTGTCATAGTATAATCATGTTATTTTACTGAGAAAGCTTATAGTTCCTTTCTATAACCTAAGAGTTAAAAATTATGTTTCTATTACCTAAAAGATATAAATAATGTTGTTTTATTACTTACCTAACAGTTTAAAATAAATAATTTGATTGAGAATTTTAATCTTTCATTCAGTGGTACGACTTAAACACCCATGGTACGATTTAAAGACTTGGTGGTACGATTAAAACGACTAGTCGGCTAAATCGTACCGATGGCAAGCCTCTATAAAAAAGCATTTTTAACAATGTTAGAATAATCGCAAGGATCTGTTCTCTTCTTCTTAGGAAGCTAAAATATGAAACTTTATTTTACATATGTATTAATTATTATAAGACGTGTTATAGTCGAAATATTTGAGTTAAAGTGAAAAGTGGTACGATATATCCGACTCTCCCCTACATATAAGAAAGTTGTGCTAGTTATATTATTGATGACTGAAGAGCGGTTGTAGGGATATGTTTGAAAATTCGCGGGGAAATAGCTTAGTACCAGGATATTTAATAGGATATTTAATTCTGTTCGATCGACACAGAAAAAAAATAACTTCAATACATATCTGGTTATTTACGGCATCTAGAGTACGCTCGATTAGCTATACATATATTACTAATGCCGAAATTAAAGCGATATCCTGGGAAAAAACGAGTAATAAGAAAAATAAATTATTTATACTATTTGTGCCTCATAATCATAGCCATTATAAAAAAAAACAACACATATACGTAACAAATCTGAATTACAAAATGTATTCATATACCATGAAGAATCTTTTAATATTTTTTTTCATTTGTTTTAGAAGCTGTAAAAAAATCAAATCACCGGAATTATCTAGAATTCAATACTTTTATTATAAGAAACACAACACTTGAAGAACTAAGCCTTTATCAAAAAAGAAAAGGAGTAAACTTTTTTGACTGATCATTTGTCAGTGTCAACTACTGATGTCACTTTGACATTTATTCAAGGTTGATGTTTTTGGAATTTACGAATTACGTGTTTTTTATGTTTCTGACAAGAATAGTCAATTATATAATATAAGATTTTTTCCATAAACGAATAATTCTATAAGGGATATAGTTTTTTTTATTATGTCAAGCTTATCGTTTATTAAATCCACTAGGGGTAAAGTGATTCTCGCTACAGTGGCGGCACTACACTTAGCGATTTACGTCGCCAAACCATCGTTTTTCAAGGTCGAACAAGATAATAGAGGTCACGAACCACCACCTAAATATCTTCCATAGTTTTGTTTTTACATACAACCCGGAAGTTCTGTGCAAAAAAGACAATATCGCTTCGATTCATGTTTTGTAAAACGATCACAACTTCCGCATCTAGCTTAGTGTCTAGAGGTCTTTTAACTGATATTTCAAGAAGAATGAGTACTGTACATAAAGTATTTATAACTAGAAATGATATGCCAGATGTTGGGGTTGAATTACTTAAGAAACAGTAAGTAAAGATTTTTAACCCAACATATCGTCTGTATGTGTCTATCAAAAATATTTGTTATTATATATTTATTAATTTGCAGGTGTGATGTAAGGAAATGGGAAAAGGCGAGTCCAATTCCAAGAGATGAATTTCTGAAATCTGTAGCCGGTGTGAATGGAATTTACTGTACACTGAATGACAAAATAGATAAGGAATTATTAGATGCGGCCGGACCAAATCTTAAGGTTGTTGGGACTATATCTGTAGGGTACGACCATATTGACACAGCAGAGTGCAGAACGAGAGGTGTCCGAATAGGATACACACCAAATGTCTTGACTGATGCTACAGCCGAGCTTACCGTAAGTATTCACAGGTCTTTTTCATATACATAAAAGATTTGATTTTCTCTTAAAGTAACAGATTAATCATTAAGTACTATATTTTTTCAGCTTGCATTACTATTAACAACATCAAGACGACTCCCAGAAGCTCAGAATGAAGCAAAAACTGGTGGTTGGGTGTCTTGGGCTCCAACATGGATGACGGGGCCTGGACTTGCTGGGTCTACTGTAGGAATCGTAGGATTCGGTAGAATCGGCCAAGCTGTAGCTAGAAGAGTCAGAGCATTCAACACGGCAAAGATATTGTATTACAACCGCAGCGAAAAACCAGAAGCCAAAGAGATTGGTGCTTGCAAAGTTGGGTTCGAAGAACTGCTGACACAGAGTGACTTTGTTATATGTTGTGCAGCTTTAGTACCAGAGACAAAGGAAATTTTTAACAAAAGTGCATTTGAGAAGATGAAACCGACAGCTGTATTTGTGAATACAAGCCGAGGTGGAACGGTCGACCAGGGTGCTCTTATAGAAGCCCTACAAAATAACACAATAAGAGCTGCTGGCTTGGATGTGACTACTCCCGAACCTCTACCTCTCGATAATCCATTGTTCAAGCTTAAAAACTGTGTAGTTCTACCACACATTGGTAGTGCTACAATTGAAGCGAGGAATGTTATGAGTGAGCTCACTGCCAAAAATATCCTCTGTGCACTCAATGGAAGTGATATGCCGGCAGAACTTAAATAGTCTTAACCATGAAATATTTATATTAAAACCTATATTGTATATATAATGTACTCGCTTATAATTTTATTGCAATTAATAAAAAACTATGTCATTAACCAAATAGATTTATTAACATATGTACAAATTGATTCCTAAATAAATATATCAATCATTGTGTTCATGCTGTGCTTCGGACTCTCTCCAGTTATTCTGAACCATTTCAACGATCATCTTCCACCATTTAGATTCCATAAAGTAATATATTGAGCAAATTATAATGAAAAGCCATGAAAGAATAAGGAAATAGTCTGTTTCCTTCTCGACTACACTCGATACAGGTCCTTGGAAGTCTTTGGATGTGACTAATAAGCTTTGGCACTGTTGTCCCGTTATAGCATGAACAAATCTACTAAACAAATGTATATTATATTCAGTACCATTGAATTTCCCCACCGGTCGCCCATTATGAAACATCTTGAGTGTAGGCACACCTACAATACCATACTGTGCATTAATGCCGTGGTATTTTAAGGCATCTAATGCAACCATTTTGATGTTCGGATATGATCTGGCAAGAGCATTAAAATGTGGAGCAGCATGTGCACTAAATGGGCAGGCTCGAGCATAGAATAAAACTAAAACACAATCAGCTTCAACATCACGGCTCGTTACATCTGGTTTCACTTGTAACAGCTTAGCAAGGGAACTTCCATTAATGATCTCCACTACAGGCTCTGAATCTATTGGATCATATATAATTTCTCTACATTTGACGAGTTTTCGAGTTTCATTGGCTGAATGTGTGCTATTTGAATCTGTGGACACATTAGCTGATGTGACATGGTTGTAGAAATTCGTGAGTGTTTTATTTACGTCTGACACTACGTTGGATAAAAGAGATTCTGATTCATCGACGGTTGAGAAATCTGCTTCTTCTTTTTGAGCTTCAGACTCATCGTTAATATCATACTGCAATGTCAAGGATGGAAGAGCTAAAACATTATTAAAATTATAAGGTATTTAAGCGACACAAGCTGACTATAATTCTTATCACAATTGTTATTAATTTATTCAGAATAATTGACAATCATTCGTAGATGAATATATTAAACATAGTAGAGCATAATTTATATGTCTATCATTCCATCTCACCTATAAGTAATGCGCTAAAAAGTGAAGCCGTGGAGCTAACATTTAAACGCATTTTTTACAATAATTGTTTGTTAAAATTAAATTAATCGTATTTCACAAATTGTTTTATGTTTATCAAACTTTGCACCTTTGAAAGTAACAAATTGACATTTGTTATGTTCGACAATGTCAAATGTAATCATCTGGAATACAATATAATTTATAAGACAGCATTCAAGATAAAAATATATAAATGTTCAGTTTATTTCTTGGGACACATGCAGTTATATTCATAAAAGGGGTTAATTTTTTCTCCACAATAAAAAATTCTTAATTTTATATGTGTTATACATATATGTTTCTTGTAAGTCACCTCAATTATATTTTTCAAAAAGTGGCAATCACATGATTCGATACAACAATAAAGCTAAGTGAAAATAAATATTTTACACAATATGAACCCCGTTTCGATGATTTAAGTTATAGCTGTGCTATTTTTATATAAATACAATGTCATGGTTAATAATCTCTATTCTGAGCGCCAAGCCAACGAAATCGATAGACCTGTGTTACGTAGATATATTTAGGATGTCTATTGGAATCGCATCATGACGTAGTGCCGCAGCAATATTATTATATTAGACTTGATGTCGACTAGAGGCGCGGGCGACGCTGACAGTCGAAACGCGCTCGCCGGCCTGTTGATTCCGCTATCTGTTTTATAAATTTATTTGTAACATTACCATGGCGTACACCTGGGATAACAGGGTAGCGTTTGTTGTTCGTTATCTGTACGGTGAGTCGTATTAATTCTTCGTTCTGATTAGTCAGGGTTTTTATGTCAATATTTCAAGAACTGCTGGAGTTTTGTTTCAACTTCTAGTTTAGTACATAGAGTGAAGAAAAACAAACGTTAAATATTATTTGAGTAAGATAGGAAAAAAATTTGTGTATTAATATTACATCTAAATTCATTTGAAACATAAAAAGTCTGATTCAATATTATAACCCAAAGTTAAAAAATAAAATATTACCTTTTAATCTTTAAAATGTTACCATATTTTAAGTTAAATGACAGGTAAATTAAACCTTATTTTTGTCACATCAAACAATTTTACGTATTTAAGATTGATATAAATATTGTGGCTTACATTTGTGTTGCTGTAACAAGCTTTTATTACTTGGCTCATCAGCTAGTGAGGTTGTGAGTAAATCTGACACGTTCAAAACTAAACGAGCCAAACAACAAACACCGCTTTGTTAATGTGTATCACTAACAATATGCAGTATAGTTTTAGTACATATATTATTCATTTTGAATGCAATGTATCGTTTTAAAAACATTTATCATTAATCTCATATTATCAGAGTAATATGAAACGTTAGCTTTGAATTTAAATTATATTATATACATCCATTAGTCATCTAATTGAACGATATTAAGACTTGATTGGATCAGAACCAATTCTGTATCATTTCAATTACATTCTATTAAAAGGATCATGATTTTTTTTGAATTGGCAACATTGTTTATATTTTTGAAATCTTCTTATCAACAACAAAGACTCTTTTATTCTTAGATAAATTATGAAAGTCATTATAAGTGTGTTAATTCAATATTCTGTTTAATATTTATGTAACACATAAATCATTCATGTCATACAATTTCAGACCTACTTACATTTCGAGTAATATTACGTTAATTGCCCCTCACTAAAGAACGTCAATCACTGGATGACAACTGTAGAGTTTAAAAATATGATCATTTCAAGAAATTTTAGTGGAATTCTAGAAGATTCTAATTAAAACATGCCTCATGATAATCAATATACTTTTTGTTTTGAAAAGTTTAGAGGATTTTTGGGCATCTTTATAAAACATTCGGCTTCCACTTTTTGGCAAAATAGATTTAAAAGTAATGAAAATAGAGTTTTGAAATGGAATTTTAGTTTTACATTTAAATTGACTGCATTTATCATATTATAGAGATCTTAATGATTGCCAACCTCTTTACCTTTCTTTTAACTTCATTCTATCCAAATTGATGTAGGTATCTAATGCGCTTTTATTGTTTACCTATTGAAATGTTAGCGGCCATTTCTTATTAATACTAAACTTTTCATGTCATTCAAAAAGATTAGGTAAATAGTTTTTATTATATACAGTTGTGTAATTTATTTAAGGATTAACTATTTTTGGTCTATATATAAATGCTCACCTTTTATGTCATAGGAATACTTACACAGATTGATCCATCGTTTTCTTCAACAAATAGTGTCTTGTCTAGTTCAGGAATTACGCTATCAATTAGTCGAGTAGATTAATGAGGATTAAATAACTTTAAAAACTTTTTCTTTGTCATAGAGTATACACGGACTAATTATAAAATTATAAAAATTATCGTAAACAATTTCAATTCAATTTAGTCACTATAAATAAAATATGTCTCAAGACAACTCTAAGTTACTGAGAATTACTCAATAGTGACATAATGTTACTAATTATGTTTTTAAATTGTATTTATTTGTAGAATAATGTTAATAATAATCTTTTGTGGAAGGGGTTTTATATGTAATTGTTCAATGGTTAGGATCTTCTTTAAAAAATCCTCCTATAAATTATCATTTAGGTACAATACTAAATACGATATACAAATTCAATTCCACCTTCCCCATCATAACAGTGCAGGACGCTGTTTCTAAATATGTATATTTATATTTTAGAGACGAATTATTAATGCTGCAAATAAAACAAAACCTGTGATAATCGAAACAATGATTCGATTTCACAGAAACATATTTCAAATAGTGACGAATAATTCGATTATAATTCAAACCCGTTAATTGGTTTGAGAATTGCGAAAGGGTTTGGCACCGGCCAAGGGCTTGTTGGATAATAGCTGGCCATTGTTACCATCAGCCAACGACGTTACGATATTTTTTATTTGTGCCAAATGTTTATAGTTTCCGTCTGTTCAATTAACAAACTATTGAGCGATAAATTCGCGACGTATCATTAGGAAAATTGCTTGTATTAATTGAATTAAAACAAACTTATTTCATCTGGATTGATGTTTGTATTATAATAAAAATCATTTGTTTTTCGCAAATTCGTAAAACGTCATTAAAAGAATAATTATATAGGGTGGCAACCGGAGGTTCCAGGAAAACTACGAAACATACTTATATGTATATTAAAATAAGAATTACATGTTAAAACTTATAACCTATACCCAAGACTACATGATTGCCTCGGTGTTAGGATGACAATGACATTTTATTGCTTGTGTGGTATCAGGAATCTTCTGGTTCACACGGCTTGGTGTTGGTTCCGCGGAGTCAGCGGCGTCACTCGTTATACGATATTTTACCGACACAAAGATGTCGCCCCGGCGACGTTCATTTTTTTTCTTCATATGTAACAGAGTTGTCAATATTTTCATTACAGATATCGACAATAACGGTTATTTGGATGCACACGATTTTCATTGCCTCGCACTTAGAACATGCGTGCTGGAAGGCAAAGGGGATTGTAGTGCATCTAGACTGCAGAAGTACCAGCACATCATGATGAGTCTGTGGGAGGAGATAGCTCAGTTGGCGGACTTCGACAAGGTGCCAGACTATGTCGGTTACAGAACATTACACTATTCACGCAACGCCAAAAACATCTCGGCTTAAGCGGCTATCAATGTAGTCTAGCCTTTTCTATGGCACGCGGATCGCTTTGTTAAATTTCTTTTGTAGTTATTTTAACAGATCTTTTATTAGTCGAGACTTGAGTTCACATTATGAACACTTTATGGTTGTATATTGTAACACGTAAAACCTTTTATATCTACTGATATTGGTTAAAACTTTAAGATTACTTTTACTTATGTATAGGCAACGTAACACATACAATTAACACGACACATGCATGTTAAGAAAAGCCCAGTAAACAAGCACGCAATGCTACGCGCTCGCTTGACGCTTAATTGTTTATTATTAAAAAACCAGATTCGTTGTCTAGGATCAGTTTTTTGCAGGACGGTATTGTGACTGTTGATGAATTCAAAGTAGCTGTTCAGAACAGTTGTATCGGTCGGAAGTATGAAGAGTTTCCTCAGGCGATGAGGGCGTTCATTGAGACGAACTTCAGAATGATAGACATCAACTCTGACGGTATAATAGGCATTGAAGAGTACAGATACGACTGTGTGCAGCGGATGGTGGTAGATGACATCAGGGTTATAGATGAAGCGTTCAACTCACTGTTAAATGTAAGTAAATATAAACATAAGAGAGAATAAAACTAAAGTATGTAATAAAATAAGTGTAGCCTGTTTTAAGAGTAATTACCCATTTTATTTCATCATTGGAAAAATGAGGATTGCAATTTCGATATTATATAAAATACGCTTTGAATAAAGACTAATGATAAGTATAATGTAAAAGTTCTTAAGCAAAATATGTTTCATGGCTATATCATGGTATTAAGGACTTAGTAGAATGTCTTTCAGTCGAGAAAAAACTCCACATCCGACTGAAATATGACATGAAATAGATGAAACAAAAGTTTGACATAGCAAATTTTCGGTTCAAAATATATATGCATTTACCATTACTTACTCTAAAACAGTTAAACCATGAAATTAAAAATACATATTGTAACCTTTTACATTTTTTAATAACTTATAAAAATATTAATTCAATATTTATCTTCTATATATATAAAAATGGATTGCTGTTCCTTAGTCTCGCTAAAACTCGAGAACGGCTGAACGGATTTATCTTATCTTAGTCTTGAAATGTTCGTGGAGGTTCAGGAAAGGTTTAAAAGGTGAGAAAAATTGATTCATTTCCAGGAAAACCTTAAAAACAGCCCTTTTCTATTTCCCATACAAATGTTTTCTTTGACATTAGATTTGACAACTAACTAATATGTCAATCATTCTGTTCGATTGAAACAGGAAAAACCTGATTATTTATGGCCTCTAGGACGGAATAGAGTTCGCCCGGTCAGCTATACATATATTACTAATGATAAAATTAACGCGGACGAAGTCGCGGGCAAAAACTAGTCATTAATATTTTAAATAAAAAAAATTAAAATATATTTCAATGAAACTAATATTTTTCGGATATACAACACGTGCTTTATTTTTGTAAAAAACTACATACTCTCCTTCAACCGGCTTATTTTGTTGGCAATTTGCAGTCCGTACTGGTTCACATAATGACATCTATATACTAGGCGTGCTTTATTTTGCTCCAAACAATATTAGTTTCATTTAAATGAATAAAACTCGCAAGTCTTATATCTGAAAATAAAATAGGTATCTCATTTTGATACATATCACAATATATACTGTATTTCTGTCCTATAGTTTTATTTACGGATTACTGTTCTACAAAAATCGTTTATGACGATGCTTTTAATATTGCATTTTAAAATTTTTGAAAAAAAAAATGTTATTAATTAATGGTGAATGCTGTTCCTGCAACACTGTTATGGCTATCTTGTGTTAAATAATTGATAATTTTTCGTGTCATAAAACAACACACATACAAGAACTCTAAAACATATATTTATTTTATATCATCGCAGAAGCAGCCCTAGCTATATATTAATAAGTGATCTGATATAATTGTAAATTAATAACATACGTATCACTAATAATTAATAAATAATGAGGAAGATAAAAGTAAATTAATGATCATTTAAAAGTCTGAAATAGTTTATTGACAATAAAGTGTATCTATCATTGCCACGGCCAGCACGTAACGAGACGTACGTAATATTACGTGATTCTCGGAATACCCTGTTATTTGGCACGCCATATCTGCAATATTTGTGTCAATGACGATACGCCTTTGACAGAACTCTAAACAAAATGACGAACCATTGAAAACGTCATCTGTCATCGAGAACTTTAGAAATACATTTTTTTTTAAACCTCCACATGATTTTAGTTAAACAGCCAAAATTTTAATTCAAATTTAAAGAATAATAATTCATTCGCTAATTATGCCAATTAATATAAATTTAGTCGGAGATTTTTCTTTAAATATTACCTGATATATTAAAAATATGTACTTGCGTATAACAATAATTTTGGATTATCGGAGTAACACTGGCGCAACGCCAAACAGATCTTGTTGGATTTTTATTATCGCGTTGCATAATTTTATCTCTTCAGAATTTATGGGACATTGTTTACTTATTTAATTATCCCGGGCAATAAGGATAATACGCTTATATAAATCTTTTGTAACTGATAGATTTAATTTTTCCCTTTTGCTAACAATACTACACTTATTTGGGGTTAATAAACTGATCTTTATGATAAAAAAAAACTGGCAACTTTGTGTGGGTGTGAATATAAAAATCGTGAAAATACGAAATATAATTATCTCTTATTTTATTGAATGTAAAATTTGCTGAGAATTGTCAAATATTATATTTTAAATACTTTTATTTACAGGACGATGACAGAAGGAAAGGAGGTCTTGCCCTTTACAGGTATCAGGAACTATTCGCTCAATTCCTCAGCGATCAAAGCGAAGACTGTCAGGCCAACCTGTTATTCGGACCCTTAGAATTATAATATTAATATAAAATTACTTAATATTCATACTAACAACATATAAAATGAATTAAAACCGGTAACTAATATATCTTTCATCGAATACCTGACCTATAACTACAGTAATCGTCAATATTTATTAATAAAACAAGCTATCTTATATTAGAAAGCCCCACTAAAAATAAATTCCCAAGCTTAGCGTTCCACACGTAGAGTTTTAAAATAGAACATTAAAGAAATGTATCGCTAACTTCTATGTTATTTATGTTTTTGTTTTACATGTATTTAAAATTTGTGTATTTATCTATCCGTCCTCTTTTTACCTTAAACGTCAGAATTTATTTGATTCTGCAATGGACTGTTTTTATTTTTAATATTTATTGATATAATCTTCGAGTAATAGCTAAAGGTTAGAATGACACTTTAGTCGAGTAACTTGCAGTATTCATTATGTCAAGTTTTGACATTATTGTTACAATGCACTTTCTTTGTTCTTAATATTGACCTCGACAGTTTAGGAACATTTTTTTGCACTGTATGTCAGTATTGGTTAATAAACGAAAATAAAAGTAAGGATTTAATGTTGATATATCTTTCCATTTGTGCTGTTTCTTTCATCATTTCCTTTGTACTGTTTGGTGTAAGAAAAACAGAAAAAAAATTAACAGATTTTTTTATTTTTTAAATGTTTTTACGTCTCTGGATACGAGTTTTTTTGAGATAGATATTAAATAATGCGTAAGTTACTGTACTATGACTCAAATGAATGAAAGTGTACAATGTTGCAAGTTAGAAAAATAACGGGAATGTGCTCAATCGTTCTTCTTAAAATTTGTTGTAAGCCTTTTATTTATTAACTTAATAAAGATTTACAATTTACCAGTTATTTCAATATTTCCACGAATAAAAAATTATTTGATTTTCAGATCATTTATTAAAAACCCTATTACACAGTTAAAGTAGAAACAAAGCATTATATATTTTTATATATAGCAAATATACAAACGTCAAACACCAAAAAAATTAAGTGGTAAGTAGGTTCAAATATACATATAGGTACTTTACGCTAATTTTCAAGACAACTATATCATAATGATTTGAAATAAAATCTCTAAAAAATATTTAAATATAAGATTATTATTTATTTCAAAAAAAAAGCCATTGACAACTACTTATTTATTATGTTAAGACACGTATCCGAACATGTGAAGGCACGATTCAAATAAATATTAAACTACGAACAATTAAACTTTATATAAAATATACTGAAAAATAATAAAACACTCGTTAAAGTTAGAATATTTTTACAAAACACCATACATTAATAAGCGGATATTAGTTACGATATGATTATATTGAATATTTACATTTGTAAACCACGAAGCTCCTTTGGAATATACGTTCGGAAATTATAAAAAAAAAAAAATGATTAAAAATATTCAAAAATGTCCAAATCTGGTCCATCGATAGAATGTATAAACCTTCACCACTCACAAACATCAGTCATTCTCTTAACTTGAATAATATAAACACCGATTTAACTACAATTTTATTTTACCAGTTATTAAGACTAAACACGCGATATTTCTTGACTTGGTCACTAAGTATCACATATCAGTAACAGTGAATAAGCTTAAACTACACATTTTATTATATCTATATATATTTTTAAATGCCTTACAGAGCATATATTTATTAAGTTATCGCCAAAATTTTAAATAACCCTCGATTATACTTAGCATTTCGACAAGCACATCACGATCGTAGTATTTTTACGTAACATTAAAAAATGTTCGAAGCTGTAAGAACGCTTAAAGTATTTCCAATTTCAGTTGTATAATATTTTCTCTAGATTATAATGAAAATTTTGCTAATTTACAAATAGCGTCGCGTCATTCAACCGAAGCATTATCACTTCAAATTTCTCCATCCAACGTTGAACACTCACTCAAAGCACATATACAAAATGGAAGAGAAACTATAAGGATTCTAATCATCGATAACTGTCTATTAATCTCAGTAGACTACATCTCATTGGTGATGTCGAGGCCGCTGCTGGAGGCTTGGGGCTCGGCTGGCGAAGATTCTAGACTGCCGTAGGTGCGACCGCCTCCCGACGCCACTCGCCAGCGTCCTCGACGGCGGGTTATGCCTATAATATTAACCTGTATCACACTTGACCCTAATACCCTATATATATTCACAATTAATTACCAAAATTACTTCGACAACAATAATAGTTTACAATTATGACGTATGTCAAAAACGTCATGATGACAAGCAAAGCTCATGCATTATAATGTAGCAATATTAAAAAAAGAAGAAAATGTTCATTAAATTTTAAGTTGATTTGTTTGTATTGAAAATAAATAAATTTAAATTATTAATAAAAATAAATAATGTTAATCATTCTTATTAACTGTTCAACACTAGTACTGTGACATATATCTGAAACACATACAAGAACTCAATCATTCAGTTGATGTGACTGTAATGTGATCTCATTTTGTTACAAATAATAAAACAAGGAATAGTGTTGTGTTTTATTTAAACAAAATCGATAAAATGAAAGCTCTAACTCAATACGAGTGTCGTGTACAAAAATATATATGTTATGTGAGCTATATTTTAATTAATATGATAATCGTCTTACGTTCTCTGATGCTCTTAGCAGATCCTTTTAGGATGAATGGAAAGAAAAATATTGTACATTGGACCTTTACATAGTTATAGAACAAATGTTATGAGTACAAGGTTAAAGATTATATTTGTTAAGCTTTTACATGCGATGGACGGCATCTGTGTTCACATGCCATGCAGAGGTGCTATACTAAAATAAAATGAAACAAAATCAAATAAAAATACACGTAATTTATTTTATCTATTACAAAAGTCGGTCTTTACATACAATTAACCATAACCTTTGGATAATAAGTAACCCTCTGTTTAAGTACCAGTTTAAGTACCGGGAGATTCTGTTGGAAGAATTCGAATCTAGTGTAATACTTATAAAAGAGAAAAAAACAATCAAAATAAAAAAAAACATCGGATAGGAACATAGAGGGAACTCGCTAATCAAATCTCAAATTAAAAAAAAAATCACTTGACATAATACTATATATAGTTAACACGAAAAAAACAAATCGAAATCTATTATTGGGTTAACTAATATAAAACTTTTCATATATCCATGGCCTTTACAGGCGTACCTGTAAAAATAGGTGCCTTTTATTTCGACAGATTAAAAAAAAACAGACAGATAAAAAAAAATTATTTCGACAAATTAACCGACACCGATTAGTCGACCCATTCATTTCAATACCCATCTTGTTAGTCGCTACTAGAATAAAATAAAGAAATAATAAAGTAACATAACATGTGCATACTTAACACGAGTTACAGCGAGGTATGGACTTACCTTAAAACAAGCGAGATGGGAAATAGCTTACAGACATTTATATAAAAAAAATAATTCATTACAACCCTTACCGATAATTACAAAGCCATTGCCGAAATAACATCAAAATTTTTACATAATTTATAATTTTATACGCATCCTGTATCACACTTTACATAAAGCACACGTCATAAATAATGCGATGATATAAAATTATCTTATAGTATTAAAAACTGAAGCTCTGCGTCACATTGGATTAATTATAATTAAAAAAAAGTATTCTACAAAATAATAAATATGTATAGAGAATTAAATAGTTTTATAATTGACAAAATAAGTACCGGGTGTAAGTACGGACGCGGCATAGGGATGTGTCGCGTATATATTTCTTTTATCGATAAATAATAAATTAGGAATGAATCATCGATACAAATCTAGACAGGCATGCAAACTTCACATTGACTATAGAGGCCCGCCAACCAGCCAGTGGTTAGAACCGTACCCTTCAAGGAACATTGCAATCGGCTAACAATATTTAAACTAATCTCATTTTAAATACATAATATATGTATATGTAGTATATAAAGGGCGTACAAAATATAATGTCATTATTTTTTAATCTACCAATTGCAAATCACCTTACATATAAATGCTATGTAAATTAATAGAAAACAAACGGGAATCAAAATCCCGATGGCGACACTATCGATACATACTCATGTTATTTCATAAATAAATATAAATATTTATCGATAGCACCGCATCATAGCAGTAAGGCTCGAACGACAGCTCATTCAAAACTAAATACGGTGCGTTACTAGCCTTGCTACGTTACAAAGGAAACATCGATAACATAATCGATAAGAGATTGCACATCACTATTGCACCGTTCAATTCGTGTGTAACGTACCATGAATGTTAGTGCTGTCCTCATATCATCGATATATCAATGGACTATGTTAACACCGTACACCTCAACAACCCAAGCGTGATAACAAACTGATGATCATATATAATCATCGATAATAAAGATCGATAAGACATTTAACGGAATTGAACGGGCAATACATGAACACGACTCGTAAGAGTCTGTACAGGTGTAATAAATAAATCCAATCGAATCACAATAATATATATATGTATGTATATATAATTTCCGAGCCCGTTGTTTGTGGGTCGTGGTGTGAGTGCCCTATGCTCTATGCTCTATGCTCATTGTCTATGGTCTAGTGTGTTGTATCGAATGTATAGTGCCTCGCTCTTACTCGTGACAAGGACGTCTCAGCGGTCTCTGCTCCGCGCAGCCTCTGCTTGGCGAGCTTCTGCCTGTTGACCGGCGACCCTGGAACAACCCTTACACCTGACACGGCGATACTGACATACTGACAGTGTGGCGTACACACGCATACTACGGAACGATGTCACTGTATATAATGTACATCTACCTTACAGAAGCCTTATATAAATATTAGTGATGTTTCATATAAATACTATGAATCCATCCTTCATACTCCTTATAATACTTATCTTTAAATGTCATACTCAAAAATATATTCAAAAACAACTTCTATTATTGACCAAATAATCACTCCTAGTGTTAACACTATTAAAATAACTGTTCATATCGGTGCACCGTGCATATATGTCTTTAATGATATCAACTCACAATTTAGTGCAAATTAAATGAATAATGACTTATTATTATTAATATGAAAAACTTATGTGTTTATAAACACAATCTTTACATTTTTTATGCATGTTATCATTAAAACTAAAAGTCAACGTTTTTATTTGGTTGACAAATGAAATAAAGGTGTTAATAAACTACTATTTTTCTTAGAAGACTAGTCATTTTTCCATCTTAACATATTAAAGATATTCAACACATGACACTTTATATATATGACTCATGACAAAAATAATACAAAAAAAGCAAGCTGCAACATAAATAATGTATGCTACAAATGTTAGTGCATAACGTGGAAACAGACTCATAACAAGTGTTGTTAAACAGATTATATATAAAACAGAACAAGATAAATCATAACATAGGAAAAGGTCCAATATACAAAACCAAAAAAAAAGTGCAAAAAAATAAATAAAAATAATAATATTATACTCAATACATCATGCATGGAAGAACGATTTATTAACTGTATTCATGATTCGTGGATATGATGTAAAATTAATGAGGATGGTTTAATATTGAAATACAGGTTACAAAATTATATATGTATGTGTGTCTGTGTATTCTATTTGTATATAAAATTAAATTATTTTAATTAATTGTGACGTCATACATAACATTGCAGGGCTTCAAAGTATTAATTAATTAATTAATTCTAAGTAAATTATAATATTAAAAAATTCTGTTATAATGTGTCTGTGTAAGAAACTGTTTATTCCATAATAATCAAGTCATATCTGTTTAAAATTATTATTTAGAGCTGTATATGAATCTAGCACACACACATACATCCAATGTATTAAAACCAACAAGGTTTGTCTATAAGCTATCAAACTTTTTAGTTGAAGCCGAATTGCATATAATAAAGTCTATAAAAATGCATATAATTGCTTCTGGCTACATAATATGTTTACTATGGAGACTATTCTCATATACTTGTGTATTTCTCGGTGTATGTTTGTTTGTCACATTACACATTAATCACTTACCAATGTAGCTGAGCATGACGGGCAGGAAGATGAGGCCATGGGCAGCTCCGAATAACACAATTCCCAGGTACATACGGAAGTAGAACACCTTGGGTTAAAGAAAATCATAGTACATATAGGATCAGAAATAATTAGCTATATATAAAATATTAAAAATAATAGATTTAATAATATACAATACTATAAATTTTTTGTGTGCACATACATGTTAGAATGTAGTAATTTATAATATTTTAAAATTAATTTTATTACAAGCTTTAGACAAAATTTATTATAGAATGACAAAAGAAAACAGAAAAATATTGATCGATTGATCTAATTGTTATAGATACATAAAGGGACACCATGTATAATGTATTCAAATACATTATTTGAGGGTTTTCATTTCTCATATTATTTAATACACTTCAACCAAAATCCATATGGAACGAACTCAACAACAAAGTTTATCTCCTGCGGTAGGAAATAGAATATAGCTTGGTAAAATTTACATGTACTAGTATAAAATATAAAATTTTTAAATTGGGAACATCTGTATATATATAAAACATACAGAGTCGAGTTGATATCCATCTCTCATTGTTCATTCTTCTTCTACCTGGCAATTTCCCAGCTTTAGCCAGGGTCTGCCTTACATGTTGTAAATTGTTTTGGCTAATTGTTTTTACGACCGGCCGCCTGCCTGACATCAACCCTCTTTGGGAATCAGCATTAATCAGTGATGTCTAAACACTCTTATAAAGTACATATGACTCGGCAAAATCACATTGGTACTTTCCCGGGCCGGGATCGAACCCGCGCCCTCGTGCATGAGAGGCGGGCCATTTAATCACTAAGCCACCACTGACTTACATGTACTAGTATAAAATGTAATATTTTTAAATTGGGAACACCTTTATATAAATAAGATATACAGAGTCGACTTGATATTCATCACTCATTGTTCATTATTAACTTCCAACTATTATATAATTCAAATCCGTACCTTGAATATTTGACTGTTTGCAGTCGCTAGAACGATGATTCCTCCAAATTTGGTGAGCGTAATGCCGGACAGTACAGACGAGCCCATCGTGGTGAGAGCGGCCGAGGCGCGTGCGACACGCCCGGCGCCGGCGCTCACACTGAACGAGTGCACCAAGTGCGAGCAGAACTCTACCGCTATACCCACTGCCATCACCTGCACACACATACGCATACATAATGAAACACACACATAAAGAATACACTATTCATGTACATTACACACACTAAGATATAGAATATAGATTCATATTGTAGGCAAGATCCATGTGCATATGTAGTGTAAATTCTAAGAAAGTAAATATGACAATTATATCAAGTTAGATGAATGGTCTATAAAGTAAAAATCATTAATTAATTTCATGTATACAGTGTATAAATTAACAAGTAAGAAATTACATAGTTTTAATAGTGTTATAGTAGAAAATATAAGTCATATGTACCAAGTTAACGAGTGAGACAGCATTTAGACTTATGCCCCACCAATACATGAGGCCGCCGAGGTTTACTACTATCATAGTAATGGTTATAACAACAACCTGAAATAAAACAGAATATTATATATAATTATATACACAAATATGGAGTAAATAATATGTAATTTCTTGATAAACACATATATATTTAAAGGTTCATTTTAAAAATTCATATAAGTTACTTTCTAATGAGACTAATATTTGTTATAATACGGTTGCTGAAAAGTAACCGAAACGTCGGGAGTATGTAGTTTTTACAAAAATTATATACGCTTAGTATAATGCTAAAAATATCAGTTCCATTTAGATAAATACTCGCGAAAGCCTTAGATTATGTGATTAATTTTTTTATTTGCAACAAAGACATTTGGACAGTTAATACAGATAAATAAATTCAAAGATATAAAAGGATTCTATATAGAACATTGTATATATGTAAATATACTCACCAAGGCCGAGAATAAATCGAAGCCCATCAATACGAAGGTAACAAGGAAAATTGATAAAACAGATATCCCCATTGATTTGAGAGTGTCCGGCCACATAGTGAGGTACTGCTCGTAGAACACGTAGAATACGGAGTACGGGAACACGTTTACGGTCGTGTTAGCGTTACGGTTCAACGTAGCTGTTAGGTTGGCAGCGATTGAACGAGCGGCGCGCATCGCTGAGTAGTAGTCACGACTCGTCTTAAGGACCGTGTGATACGCTGAAAATAAACATTACTATAGAGTTTAAACTTGTTATAACTTAGTTTGTCTTCTTCTACCTGGAAATTTCTCAGCTTTAGCCAGGGTCTGAATTACATGTTGTGAATAGTTTTGGCTAATTGTTTTTACGACCAGCCGCTTGCCTGACATCAACCCTCTTTGGGAATGCATTATTCAGTGATGTCTAAATACTCTTAGAAAGTACATATGATTCTTAAAATTCACATTGGTACTTGCCCGAGCCAGGATCGAACCCGCGCTCGTTACATGAGAGACGGGCCTTTTAACCACTAGGCCACCACTGACTATAACTTATTAGATTGTATTATCAAATAATATGTATGGAGTATAACGAGATAATATATTATGTTAATGTCTTTATATCAGAAATTGTAAAGGTGATTACACTTTCGACACTAATAATTAAAATAGATTACATAATGTCACAACCTATTCTAGAATGACAAAAATATATGAAATATATGTATGAGCGGGATTCGAACCTGCTACTTCAAATATACGTCGTTAGAGTCACTTTAAGCACTGAGCTATAGAGTCATACTAATATTACCTTGATAATACGTAGCACCGACGCGACTCACGCCCTTATTGGCGACGTAATTCACAGATCGTCCGTAAGCCGCGTGGCCGCCCTTAGGGCATTGAGGGTTAGGGTTGTCTTGTAGGAAGAAGGGCAGGTAGTGGTTGAAGTCAATAGGCGCGGGACGCTGCTCCGGACCCACTAGAGGTATGTTACACTGCTGGCACTTATCAGCTGGAATAATTAATAATGATTATTAATATGAACATGTATGATAGATGAGGGATATAGGAAATTAAAATATTCAGTATGATTATCCTACTAATATTATAATTGCGAAAGTTTGTGTGTGTGTATGTATGTTACTTCTTCACGCTCAAACGGCTGAACAGATTTTGATAAAATTTTGTATACAGGAAGTTGACGTCCAGGAATAACACATAGGATACTTTACATCCCGGAAATCCGCAGGTAACACCGCGGGACACAGCTAGTAATATATAAAGTATCTATATGTCGTTTTAGTAACATGTAAAAATTTCTTTTGATATCACTGAATTTTATTGTATGGCTTTTGATAATGATCTTAAGTTTTTTTTTAAATAAAAAACTCTGTTTATTTAACAAAACTTAAGATAAAGGCTAAAACAATAAAAATATATAATGAATTAATTGAGAATATAAGCAAGACTGCAAGAAATAGTTTAATATCATCTAGAAATTAGTCTTGAAGTTATTTATTTAAGATTCACCAGTGGTAAATACATCAAAACATACAAAGATATACAATTTTTATACAACTTAAAACTAAATGCATTACCTATTAAGGTGAACACCACTTGCAAAGATAAGTTGGAGATGACAAGCTTACAAATAATTTATTGTTAGTAAATTAAGGTTAAAAATGACAAGGATAAACAATAATTGTAAAACGATATATGTATATACTTACGTCCGTAATTGTTTGGACAGAAGCTATCGTTTCCGGGGAACCGTTTACAGCAGGAAGGCAGTGACGACCATTCGAAGAAATCATCTAACCACGAGTTGGGAGGCTGCGCGATGTATGACACGTTGGAGATACGGGATGCTGCCGAAATGACGTCACAAGGATTGAAATACATCTTATACTATGTAATTTTTATATATATAATTCTTCTGTGAGTGTGTATGTCACTTAACTTCTCTCAAACGACGGGAGCGATTTTGACGAAATTTTTTGTGTGTGTTCAAGGGGATCTGGGAATGGTTTAGATTCACAATTTTGTCCGCTGGACAATGTTTTTTAATTAATTTTTAATTTATTAGTAGTTGTTGATACAAACGTTTTTTTTGACATTAGATTTGACAACTAATATGTCAATCATTCTGTCGCACTTCAAAACACGGAGATTTATGGCTTTAACAGGTAAACTCCAAAAGTATAAATAAAAAAACGTAACAGATATTTCTTGATTATAGGGCGATACGAAGTTCGCCGGGTCTTCTAGTATATACATAGAATTCCATTTATTATACTGGTGACTTATAAAGTATGGTTGAAAGTCTATAACATGACTACTTGATTAATTTAATTGAAACTAATATTATTCGGATTATACTACGCGTATTTTATTATTGAAAAAAATGCTTGCTATCGACGTTTTGGTTAGTTTTCAGCAACCGTGATTATTGAGACGAGACGCCCGTATAGACATCTCGTTTGTCTAAAATAATAATATACGGCTAGTAATCCGTATAATATTCGTCATCAGCCTATTAGAGCCCACTGCTGAGCAAAGGCCTTTTCTCTCATGGAGAAGGTTTGAGCATTAATCACCACGCTTGCTCAAGACGGGTTGGCGATTTCAAACTTATAATCATGAAATTATAAGTCCAGGTTTCCTCAAGATGTTTTCCTTCACCATATAATCCTACTAATATTATACTTGCGAAAGTTTGTGAGTGTATGTTTATTACTTCTGAACGTAAAAACGGCTGAAGCGATTTTGATAAAATTTTGTATCCGGGAAGCTGATGTCTAAGAATAAGACATAGGATACTTTACATCCCGGAAATCATGTAACACTGCGGGTCGCAGCTAGTATTATAAAGACATTACTCATTGCTTATTTACCAGCATATAACTGCATGGACAGACTGTCATCATTACAGTATCTTGTTCCACATATCATGTTCTGAGTGTTTTGATCCGAGTAGTTTAATCCTTCCGTGACTACGAAGAACACAGGCAAACCCATGTTGAGGAACTTGTTCAGATGCTGGAAGTACTTCATCTGGAAGCTGTCTTGAGGCATCGAGAGCTCTTGGTCTAGACCTATGTCTATGTGTGGCGCCACCTGGGGGAATTAATCGTATTAGTAATATATTAATAGCAAGTAAAGTAAATAGTATAAAGTAATAGTAAGTAAAGTAAATAGATATTAATAGTAAGTTAGTAATGTCCAACTAGTTTTTGACTTGAATTGAATTCACAGATAAATTGTAATGTGTGCTTGGAAAGAATAGATATGGTAGCTAACTGGCAGCGCCAAATATATTCTGTGAATTTTTTTTCCATATGTTATACAATTTCCTTCCTGTATCCCTCAAGAAACTAGACGAATTTTTTGAATTCATTAATATATAAGTTTTATAATGTTTAAGCTATAGTTTTAGATTAGTTTCATAAAAATCTGTAAATTAGATTTTGAGTATAACTGACAGTATGTGTTCAATTTATCTTAATTAGTTGACACATCTCTCTAGTTAGTGTATATAAAGAAAACAGCACCAGAATTTTTAGTGCATATTTTTAGTTGATATTAGAGTTCTCATTATGGATGAAGCATTTATAAGTTTATTTAATTATTTACGGGAACGATACAGCTTATAATTACAATAATTTATTTCGGTAGGGTAAAATATTGCCATAACAGTTTCCACCTTTTTTTTGACAAATAATGTGTTATAAATTACATTAGAAGTAAATCAAGTCATCTCTTTAGAATATATCCACTATTCAGTAATCAATATATAGGACATAGTTTATGTATTATATGTAATATCTGGACACCGAGCTTTGCTCGGTTTTTAGGGATTACTAGTATTTATCTTGTGTTCTGTTTTATTTAGTTAAGGCATTTTTAAGTGAACACATTAAGAAGACAGAAAGCAATATAAATCAACTATGTATTAATTTCTTAGTCGAACCTCAAACAAATATTGACTTCCTTTTACTAAACAACACCATCTGCTTTTGAGCCGTTAAAGCAATTAGCAAAAAGTAGTATTATTATTTGCCAATAGATGTCACGAAGTCTTATTTTAAACGAATGCTGTTTTTTTTTAGCTAGATCGATTTATCGCCCCCGAAGGCCGAAACCTTCTATATACTAAATTTCATGTAAATCGTTGGCCCCGATTCCGATTATACAGGGTGACTGGTGAATTACTATCAATATTTAAGGAGCATACTCGGTACATGATTCTCATTCGAATTATGTAAAAAAAATAGGTACTTAATTTTTGACAAAATTTCCGTATAAATAAATAAAGTGTTGACACGTTCCAAGTGTTGCAAGTGTGGACGCGTGCGGCGGCGTGCTGATACAACACTACGCCGCCGCCGCGTCTGTGTGAGTGTGTGTGTATACCTAATCTGTAGGTGTTCATACGATGCGTAATTAATTACATAACTTTTGGTTAACTTTACTTAGAAGTTTATTAATATTTATGTTATATTAATTTTTATTTTGTCATATATGATCGTCAAATATCACGTCCTCAAATATCGATAGTAATTCACCAGTCACCCTGTATATAAATATATATACAAGAATTGCTCATTTAAATATATAAGATTAACTCACAGCGACTGAGGAGCAAAGCCAGGCGAAGAATATGATCATAACGGAGGCTCGCACCTCCCTCTTCATGAGGAAGGGCACGTACACGTAGCGGAACAGGTTGTATAGAGCGCCCTCACCCGCGCCTTCTGACGCCTCCGATTTGGCGCCTGATAGGCAGCAAAACACGTCGAACCTGGAGGAAGAGGTTGGATATAAATATAGTCTATGGCCATGAGACGAAACCTGATTATTTTAACGACTATACCATAACTTTATTTCTCTGTCAATATAAAATACGGATGAAATTAAAACACAGTGAACTGAATGTTTTCAGCTATATTTGTTTGATCCCTAACTCCTCACGACTTTAATGAGAATTTGGCCTAGTTTACTTGCAGGAATGTCTGTATATAACAGTTTCGTATACAATTCTAGCATGTTTATACAAAGGGAATAATAATAGGTTAAATGTTTTAAACTGTATCCATTTCCAACAAGTTCATTTCAATGTGTATCAGTCTACTTTATCTAACCCAGAGTCCAAATTAGTTTTTTTTAACATTAACTTAAGTGTTTTTCTATGACATCATATTTGGCGGTAGTGTTATATAAATTATGTTATATTACCTTAAAATGGAACTAATATTTTCGAAATCTCTACGCGTTTTTTGACATCTTAAACTACATACACTACGTTACGGTTCATCACAGGCAGACGAGATAAAAAATATCATTTATATAAATGAATATTCTCGAAAATCTTCTATATAATTATATATGTAATACCTATTATCGTTCTGTCTCCTCGTATCCAGAGCCAGGAGCGCCACGAAACATGTGATCTGTAGCAGGAAGTCGACCAGTAGGGCTGCGCCCGCGTACAGGGCGAAGGCCCGCACGGCCGGCATGTCGCTGAGCGCGCCCAGGAAGAAGCACACGGACTCCGACACCGACGTGAGGAACATGGAGGGACCCACCTGACCTAGACTAGAATGATAAGTAATATTAGATACATCCTCATCATCAGCCTATCAGAGCCCACTGCTGAGCTGTCTCTTCTCACATGGAGAAGGTTTGAGCATTAATCACCACGCTTGCTCAAGGCGGGTTGGTGATTTCAAACTTATAATTGTGAAAAAATAAGTCCATGTTTCCTCACGATGTTTTCTTTAACTGTCTATCAGTGATGTCTAAATACTCTCAGAAAGTACATATGACTCCGAAAAATCACATTGGTACTTGCCAGGTTTGAACCCTATATTATATACAATCCCTACTAATATTATAAATACGAAAGTAACTCTGTCTGTTACGCTTTCACGCTGCGAAATAAACGCGATATAACTAAATGTTGATTGGATGAAAATCGAATTTAAGATATTATCAATGTGCTAGTTGAGATATTTCAGCTTTAATTACAATATATATAAATAATTCAGTAAACATGTCATACAGATGATAATTTGAGGAAAATCTAATTTAAATATCACTATCGATGACCTGTGCTGATAAAATTTCAACTATTACTATAACTAATTAATCATACAATGATATAACGACTTTTAATGTATTTTTTCACAATTAGTACATAATTATTTTGTATTTAATTTATTACTAGTTGTGAAAAAATTACTTTAAAAGTCGTTAATTTAGAAACTTAAACTTCAGCTTGAGCTCAAACTTTCTTCTGATAATCTGCTTCCAATGCAGATACGCGAAATTATCCAATGGTAATTACGCGGATTTGCACTATCCGCGACGATATATATCCTACTATATAATATTATAATTGCGAAAGTTTGCGAATGTTTGTTACTTCTTCACGCTTAAACTGCTGAAGCAATTTTGATAAAATTTTGTATACAGGGTGAGTGGTGAATTACTATCAATATTTAAGGAGAATACTCGGTACATGATTCTCATTAGAATTATGTAAAAAAAATAGGTACTTAAATTTTGACCAAATTTCCGTATAAATAAATAAAGTGTGGACACGTTCAAAGTGTTCCAAGTGTCGACGCGTGCGGCGGCGTGCTGATACAACACCACGCCGCCAAACGCGTGTGTGTGTGTGTGTGTGTGTGTGTGTGTGTGTGTGTATACCTAATCTGTAGGGTGTTCACACGATGCGTAATTAATTACATAACTTTTGGTTAACTTTACTTAGAATTTTATTAATATTTATGTTATATTAATTTTTATTTTGTCATATATGATCGTCAAATATCACGTCCTCAAGTATCGATAGTAATTCACCAGTCACCCTGTATATGAAGGTGATGTCTAGGAATAAGACAAAGGCTACTTTACATCCCAGAAATTGGCAAGTAACACCGCGGGACGCAGCTAGTATAATAAATCAAACAGTTGTCTTACGTTCTTCCTATATGCTGTGCGATGGTCTCATCCGGTCTTCTAGGCTCTCTCTGGCTGGTTTGCACCAGTATGAAGATATTGTCAACACCGACTGCGAGTACCAGGAACGGGATCACTTCTACTATGATGAGTGTCGCTGCCACGCCGCAGAAACCGAATAGACCCACGGAACACACCACTGACGCTAACACGATCAATACACCTGGAATAATACAACAGATTATATATCATTACTAATAATTAACCAATCAATCTCCATTAAGTTGAGTTCGTCATCAAAAATATTACTATAAATTATATTATGATATTTTTTTAAAGTATTCAAGCGTATAAACACGAGTGGATTTTACTTTCTCAACTTTCCAATGCTACTTAACGCATATAAAATAAAATGTTGTTTCGTTTATATATTTTTCATGTCAAAACTGTCCCTACTAATATTATAAATACGACAGTAACTCTGTCTGTTATGCTTTCACGCCTAAACTATTGAACTGATTTTAATGAAATTTGGTAGAGAGATAGAGTTGACCTTGAGAAAGAACAGGATAGTTTTTATCCTAGACGTTTGAAAGGATCTCTTGGAAACGCGATATAACCGAATTCCACGCGGGCAAAGCTGCGGGCGGAAAGCTAGTACACAATATATGGATTTTCATTTAACATAAAAAATATAATAGAGATAATTGTATCAAACAAGATGGACAAGAGAAAACTAATACCGTAATACCTCGCTTAGCGCGACCCCGTTACGCGTGATTTCACTATAACGCGAATTTAAAAAACTTATTCAGGTTTGAAGATATTACAGAGACAATAATAATGACCGTGTCTTCATTGTGTGTTAAACAATTAAAAAACAGTGTTGGCTGTTACGTTATACAAGAACGTACACAAAATGCTACTCAGAACACAATACATGTATTTTTTCGTAAATAACAAGATTATGTATTTGTTGCATAAAGTGTTCTTATAATTAAATTGATTAAAATGATTTGTATATTATTTTTTTTGTAATAAATTTTGACAATGTTTAATCACAAACTTCAATATACGCGAGTTCAGTTAATGCGATTTGTTTCAGAACGTATTCCTCGTGTAAACCGTGGTATTACGGTAAAGAGGTTTGCCTCTGCCTCTTTGTGTTGTAAATTCAAAATCTCTAAACATATTTAAAAACCAATTAAGAACCCATATACCTATTAGATTTCACTGATCTTGTATAATATCACTACATACTATTCATTATTTGTAATCTTAATTGTAGTTATAATATTAAAAAATTTATAAGCGAACTTTGTTCTTTTTGGTAATGAACTTGTTTAAACCTAAACTTAATAGATTCTATGAGTATAGTGCGTTTAATTTAAGCTGAGCTTTGCATTTCTGCGAGTGCACACGGATAGTGTAGGTTTGATGTCAAATTTTTGAATGCTACGTTTTTTTCTAGTTTTGAACAGGTTTATTCTGCTTTTCTCCGCCCCGCACCTTCCACACTTCACCCCTTGTACTGGTAGCAAAATCAGATTTTGAAAACGCAATGTCAAGTGAAGAATTTGTATAGTTTTTTCATAATTTTTATTAATTAATATTTTTTTTCTATAATATTCATAATATTTCCATCTGGCCTTTTACAAGTTTTACTTATTTTATAACACTTATGTTATCTATCTATTTTAAATATAATATAATTTAATTCTAAAAGTTTTTTTGTCTAACTCTACTTTTACTTTCACTCACACAAATCAAAGCTCAGCTTAAGTCTAACGGACTATATTAGTACTCACCTCCAAGACCTAGAGTGACTTTACTATCAATCAGTAGTCTGGAGCATGTCGTAAATCTTCCCAACGATATAGCGATGTATGCGAACATGATGAAGTATGACACAAGAATAGTTGACACGTCGGATTGTGACTCTCGATCTAATTCATCCTCGATCGACCTCTCGGACGTGTAAGCTATATCCATGTATGAAGGCATCTCGTTCTCAGTGTAATTCTTCATGAATTTTATGAACTCCTTCTCCCATTCCAACGCCGGTTTCAACTGTGTATTATATACAGGGTGACTGGTGAATTACTATCGATACTTGAGGACGTGATATTTGACGATCATATATGACAAAATAAAAATTAATATAACATAAATATTAATAAACTTCTAAGTAAAGTTGACCAAAAGTTATGTAATTAATTACGCATCGTGTGAACACCCTACAGATTAGGTATACACACACTCACACACAAACGCGTGCGGCGGCGTGGTGTTGTATCAGCACGCCGCCGCACGCGTCCACACTTGGAACACTTGGAACGTGTACACACTTTATTTATTTATACGGAAATTTGGTCAAAAATTAAGTACCTATTTTTTTTACATAATTCGAATGAGAATCATGTACTGAGTATTCTCCTTAAATATTGATAGTAATTCACCAGTCACCCTGTATATTATTAGGATAAGGATCAAGTTTATTGAAGACAAAAAAGGATTGTAAATTTAGCGGTAAATATATGAAATATAACTACAGCGTTAAATATTTCGTCTATGAAATTCTAAATCATTAATAAATAGATAGTTTTCAAGACATCATCCTATTAATATTATAATGCGAAAGTTTGTGAGTGTGTGTGTATGTTACTTCTTCACGCTCAAACTGCTGAAGCGATTTCGATGAAATATTGTATACAGGAAGCTGATGTCTAGGAATAACATAGGCTACTTTACATCCTGGAAATCATGTAACACCGCAGGTAACTAGTCAATAATAAATCCATGTTCTTTACCTTATCTTTATCGTGATGATTATCCACTAAGAAGGTTAGTATGAGAGCGTTGGCGCGGTGGAAGCGGGATGATTTAGTAAGAGGCTCGCCCGGAGACAAGAACCCGCCAAGAACAACGCCCGGAGACACTGGCCCGCCCCACACAGACAGACACGAAAAGGGGTTACTGAAAACATTCATAATAGATTTGTTTATATGTATAATATACTAGAAGTCGGCTTAAAGTGTAAAACTTTTAATGTTAAAAAATTTAAATCATTGTATATTATGTTGGCTTCCTATAAAATAAATAAATATGTACAGTGTAAACTCCATGTAACGTCACTCGATTTAACGCAAAATCTCTATAACACCATAAAATGCACAGTCCCTTCAGTGTCGTTATATAGAGTTTACACTGTAGTTATCTCTATATGTCATAATTAGATCATATAACAAAATATATATGTATAGACCATCTCCATATATCAACTCAAACCCAAAAAACTTATTCAATATAGAAGCATTACACTTTCTTATTGATGGTCACTTGAGACACTACCACCGGTTCGGAAAACAAAATACCCTGACCTGAGAAGAACCGGCAAAGAAACTCAGCGGGTTTTTTTATATATACAGGGTGACTGGTGAATTACTATCAATATTTAAGGAGAGTATTCGGTACATGATTCTCATTCGAATTATGTAAAAAAAATAGGCACTTAATTTTTGACAAAATTTCCGTATAAATAAATAAAGTGTTGACACGTTCCAAATGTTCCAAGTGTGGACGCGTGCGGCGGCGTGCTGATACAACACCACGCCGCAACACGCGTATGTGTGAGTGTGTGTGTATACCTAATCTGCAGGGTGTTCACACGATGCGTAATTAATTACATAACTTTTGGTTAACTTTACTTAGAAGTTTATTAATATTTATGTTATATTACTTTTTATTTTGTCATATATGATCGTCAAATATCACCTCCTCAAATATCGATAGTAATTCACCAGTCACCCTGTATATTTGTCTCATGTATGTAAATAAAATACGCGTATATATTAGTTTCATTTATTATGGAATGTTTTGAATGATATATTAAATGTATACTGACTGTGCACACGAGAGTACTTTTGACAGGTACTCATTATTTTCTAGTTCGTCCCTCACGTTGTCGGGGTTGTTCTCCCACCAGCCCCACACGGACATGACGCCGCACTGCTCGGGGGTCACCGGCCCCTCGAACGGGGACGACATGGGCGCGTAACACACGTCCTGGATGCGGGTCTCGTTACCTAGACCTGGGGGATGGAACACCATGTATTTAACAGTGTATAAATTACAAAATAACACACCATGTATATTACAATGTATAAACTATTGGCCATTAAGTCAGTGGTGGCCTAGTGGTTAAAAGGCCCGCCTCTCATGTAGCGAGAGCGGATTCGATCCTGGCAAGTACCAATGTGATTTTTCAGAGTTATATGTACTTTCTGAGAGTATTTAGACATCACTGATTAATGCATTCCCAAAGAGGGTTGATGTCAGGCAGGCGGCCGGTCGTAAAAACAATTAGCCAAAACTGTTCACAGCATATAAGGAAGACCCTGGCTAAAGCTGGAAAATTGCAAGGTACAAGAAGAAGATAAACTATTGGCCATTACAACATATAAATGTTTGTCACAAAGTTTGATTTCAACATAGATTTTAAATAAATAGGGTGGCAGGAAATCCTCGAATTGTCGTTCTAATACATGCATAAGTTTTCTCACAGATATACAAATACTTTTTGGATATAACAAGAATTTTGACGTATTTGTATGGAGAATAAGCAGTCAGTAGTATTGCTGACGGACTTTTAGAAATTTGAAAAAAAAGGACTCAAATAAAATAGGTCACTCGGACACTCATATTGAGTAATATATGTTAATAAGAATATAACAACGTTTTGTTTGTTTATAGATAGGGTATGGACTATGGAGTGCTTATATGCATGTATGGTCCATTTCCTCTGATTATTGTTAATTTCAGCATATAATTTTATTATTCACACACAAACGTGAACAGCAATAGGTTTAAAAAATGTAAATGATTATATAGTACACACATAAAAAATATCCTCACACTACTTATTGAGACCGCTGAAAATCAGTTTAGAAGCATCATTGATGCTTCTTCTTTTACTGAGCGAATCTCCATTTGGTATTGTTGCACTGCAGCACATTTTTTTTCCTTTTTATTAGTATATTATTTTTTTTTGGTAATTTTTTAATGTTTTCATTTGTGAATAAGATTGTTATTGTGTTGTAGTGCGACTTTGACCAATAAATATTTTATTATTATTATTATTACTTGATTGAAACTCACCCATGATCCTATTCTGAAGGTCAAGTACATCAAACAAAAACTGTGAGTTGAAAACCGGTCCGAATTCCATAACAGTTCCATCGGGAGCCTTGTACTCAACATTCGGCAGACCCTTGGAGCTGATGATCAGCATCTCTGTTCTGTAGAACGGACGGAAATGATAGTCGAAATACTCCCTCTCCAAACGAGATCTTGAATTAGGAGCCGCCCACAATTCCACTGGATTAGTCGTAACTTGCATGTATTTGATACCGTGACCTAGAGCAACCACGAAACATAGACCTGGAAACAATAATAAATACATAAATAATAGCTGCTATAAACTAGAATTTCATTTGAATGAAACTAATATTTGTGATCACGGTAGTAGCAGCCGTCGGGAGTATGTAGTTTATAGTCAAAAATACAAACGCGAAGTAAAATCCGAAAATATTAGTTTCATTTAAATGAGTACACGCGAAAATCTTAGATCTCATTAGAATTTCATTTAACGAATCTACAAACCCAATTAGTGACATAAAATTTTCTAGGCGATTTTTGATAAAAATATATGAATTTAAACTATATAATAAGATAATTAAATGTATATATGTACCGAAAAATAATACGATCCATGGACTAGAAGCCATAGTGCATCCCCACCATTGGAAGAAATCTTCAAGTTTAGTTTCTGTGTCTGCTCCTAACTTCTCAAAGAAGCTCGCCTCGCCTCCGTCCGCCTGCTCGATGGACCAACCTACCGCTGTAGGGTTGGTAGTCATCTCTTGATTGTTCTCCGAAGCCACGCCTATCACATACAAAAATCCCATCAATATTGGTCCATGAAACGATCAACTAAACTCACTTGAACAATATGAAATGATATAAGATAAATTATAAGTATAACAATAATTATATGTCTTATAAATAATAATAATTTAAATATAACAAAATATTAAATAATAATAATTTCATGCTGTTAGATAAGACATATTCATGCAATATAATATTATTCTTACCTCCATTTCCATGGTATGCTTCTTAATTGAAAAATTTACTTAAAAAAATTACACGCAAACAAATTCATACATCGTCCACACACGCACGCAAGCACGCACGCACGCACACAAGCACATACGCACACACTCAGACACGTGCAATTTAAATCTTTTATAATTGTTACTATATAAAAGTGTTTATATATATTAATACTCTTAGTAGGTAACTTTAAAACTCCATACATCTCTCACGCAATTTTAGTCTTCATTAATATATCCATAAGGCTCAAATTCATACGTACTGGAGCGATGGCTGTGCAGGGGACTTGTCTCTGGGCCGCCGTGTCGCTCGCCAGCCCGCGCCCACTCTGACCACACCTCAACGTTAGCACCCTCACCCTACACCCTCTAACCTCACCCACAACCTACACCCTAACACGCACCCTCACTGTATAGCTTAGGAATATGCAACACAGAATGACAAGCTATTTACTTGACAAGTAGAATGACTATATTTCTTCAGCATTCTAATTACTTGAGTGTTTTAATTATATATATTGCAAAATCATTTATTATATTTGTGAATTTAAACCATACAGTTTCAGGTGAGTGTAGGATTTTGGGGATTTACCTTAATATATTTTTCTGACTTTCATACTTAATTTAAAAAAAAAATTTCAATTTCTAATTTTTATATATTAAGGTAGATCCTCACATACAATGTAATAATATTGGGTATTTTAAAAATAAACTCATTATGAGCAATAATAATTTAGATAGTGACATAATATATAACCAAATTGTTTGTGATTCAAAAAGCCCAATATCAATAATTCATGCTGTATCTATGTGTGTGTCACCGGCATTAGTTACCAACAGAGACAACAAATCAGATAATATACTTAGAAATCATAACACATAATAACTAGTGTGTTAATAAAATAATCATATGTTATGTACTAATATAATTGTAGCAAAGAATTGTGTCAGCTCCATAATATTAATTAAGATATATTGATATATAGCATATAATAAATTCATTCGGTATACAAGAACATAGTATAGCAACTGTGTTGTATTCCAAAAATATATGATGATAATATATATTATGGTATCATATGATATATTATAAATAATAATAATAAAGTCTCACCGACTGCATTCTCTTGCTGGTTACAACAATATACTCCGCTGAGGAATAATGTTGAGAATATGAGGAAGACTATGGCCATCACGACCGCGTAGCCGTCAGCCCCGGCTATGGTGAAGGGCAGAGGCGCGGGCGGCGCGGGAGGGGGCGCGGGGCAGGACGCGGAGCAGTCCATACACGAACAACCTGGCTGTCCCTGGGGGGGGGAAATATATATATATATATATATATATATTAGTATAGAATCTTTAAAGATGAGCTTATTAGTATGGAATTTAGTTTAATTATCTTTATGGTTACTTACATAGGAACTGTTTAAGATTTGAATGCAAGAGTTAAAGTAATTCTAAGAGTTAGGGCTTGTTATATCAGATACTTAGGGATCTACTTATATTGTTACTAATTCCATTTCTTAAAAGGAGCTCCCTAGCTGTATCTGTTGTATCTAGGTATAAGTTACAGTAATAAACAAATTTAATTTTATTTTTTTATTTTGGTAAATGACAATTCACTCACTATATATATATAGTATAAAGGTATGGATTTGTTAAGGTTTAAATCCAAGAGCTAAAGTAATTCTAAGAGTTACGACTTCTTATACCAGATATTAAGGGATCTAATTATATTGGTCAATGACAATTCAGTATAGTATAAAGTAACTGACCGGTAACCCAACATTGCAGGGCAGTACGGTGGGGTTCTGAGGTATGAACCCGTCTTTAGGCTCGTCTCCACTGATGTAGTTTATTTGGAAGGGCACGTACAGACTGTCGGCCGCGTCACCCATAAAGTCGAACAATCTTTGAGGCGTGCAGAACTCTGCTCCATAGTCACCGCACATTAGATCGAAAGCCAGTTGATTGGATGAAGGCATTTGGACCTGGAAATTTATATATATACAATATACTACATTTTTTTTAACTTGTATATACGTGCATAAAATATTCAGCCAATGTCATGATGAAAAAATTACATTCCATTTTTAAATTGACAAAAAAGGTGTTAATTTGTAACTAGACTTGCAATTTGCAAACATACTCACACTAGCACATGACTCGAACGTCACATTCATGTAGGTAGCACCGAGGTGATAATCGACTTCAGATATACGTTTATGTGTGGCTGAAAAAAAACAAAAATAATTTAATACGCATATACGAATCTAAGTGATATACAATACATATTGTAATGTATGTATCCATAGCATATGTAGGATCCTTGGTCCTACATGTAAGTATAACTAGTCACTGTCTCACTACTACCCCGCCTAGAGCGACGCACGTCCCCGTTCTGCTCCGCGCTAGTCGTTACACTGCCGAACGCATATCACCCCCTCCAGTGGGGTACGTGAGACATTGTTATATCTATTGTATAGATACATACACTACACATATAATATGTATTCTAACAAATTTTGAATTCTAAACTTACCATTATACGGCTCAATCTTGACTGGATTTAAGAACTCGCTCTGTTTGGGTGAACAGGTCAGGGCGCAGAGATGTTTGAGGAAGTTGTCCACACAAGTTGGACACCTGTTCAAGAGGTTCAATGCCATGCCGATGTTGGCGTTGAAGTTCTTGAGCTGCTCCGCATCACAACAGCTGACGTCACCCGCCGCTATATCCGGACAGAATTTCTCCAGAGTTTTCTGTAATATACAAGGAGAATTAGATATCATTGAATAATAACCAATTTGCTGGTAGATTTGGGTTAAAGTATATACAAGGAAAATGTACAAAACAAGGAGTTATATACTAGCTTTACGGCCGCGGTTTTGCCCGCGTGGAGTTCGGTTATATCGCGTTTCCAAGAGAACTTTTCAAAGGTCTGGTATAAAAACTATCCTAGGTCTATCTCAAGGTCAACTCTGTCTCTGTACCAAATCTCATTAAAATCAGTTCAGTGGTTTAGGCGTGAAAGCGTAACAGACAGACATAATATTAGTATATATGTATATATCTCTTAACACAATTATATACATACGGCTACTTCTATGGTAATATTTAATTCTTTCATACGAGCAAATATTCCAATGCCTAAATTTAGTATGATGATAAATTATCACAACCCATACATAATAGTATATAATGAAAAATAACTTAAAATTTTAATGATTAGTAATCATTGATTCAATTAGAGCGTACATTACGTTATCTTGTTGATGAAAGAACGTTCTTCAAGGTACAGTAAACTCATTGACGGAGTTATAAAATATGTATGAACATTATCTTGAAGAAAACCACTGTTTGTAATAACAAATCTCTACTTAGTTGATTGATTTTATCGGTTTATTAATACTGAATACACTTGTATTAATGTTCATTATGATATGTTTCTAACCAACTATATTATTTATTTTTGTAGACGTGTAAACACAAAAAATTATTGTGGCGAAATTGAGTAGAAATACTCAGCAGAAGATGAATGTATAATGAGATATAAGACTTTCGCGAGTATTCATTTAAATGAAACTAATATTCGGATTACTACGAGATCTCGTCTGCCCGTGATAGTTGCTGCAAAGTAACCGAAAAATCGGGATTTCGGGGGTATGTAGTTTTTAAAAATAATAAAGCGTAGTAATACGAAAATATTAGTTTCATTTGTATGTACAATGTATGTTGTCCCGATAACAGTTTCTGTTTCATCCATTGATATCCATTCATAAATGGGTTAAATTTTGTTCTTATATTAGACAGTCGAAGAGATATTTAAGTGTAGTAAACTCTTCAGTAACTTCAAGTACGAAGATTTAAGCAAGAATTAGATGTATCCACATATTACTGACAAAAATGTAAGGACATTTTTTATAATTTTAATATTAGAACTAGTCATTATAATATATCTGATATGAATAACCCAAATAATTAACCAATCATATGTCCATTAGTTGAGTTCGTCATCAAAAATGTTAATAAAAATTATATGTATTATGTATAATGATATTTTTTTAAACTATTCAAGCGTATAAACACGAGTGAATTTTACTTTCTCAACTTTCCAATACATACTACTTTACATATGTATCTTCTATATATATAAAAATGGATTGCTGTTCCTTAGTCTCGCTAAAACTCGAGAACAGCTGAACGGATTTATCTTATCTTAGTCTTGAAATGTTCGTGGAGGTTCAGGGAAGGTATAAAAGGTTTGAAAGCTGAAAAAAATTGATTCATTTCCGACCCTAAAAACAGCCCTTTTCTATTTCCCATACAAACGTTTTCTTTGACATTAGATTTGACAACTAACTAATATGTCAATCATTCTGTTCGATTGAAACAGGAGAAACCTGATTATTAATGGCCTCTAAAACGGTATAGAGTTCGCCCGGTCAGCTATACATATATTACTAATGACGAAACTAACGCGGACGAAGTCGCGGGCAAAAACTAGTATAAAATAAAATGTAATCTACATTGAAAATAGTTAATATATTTCAAATAGATATGTTTATTCATGATATAGATTGATAATTTTTACGTTACAATGAAAAAATCAAAACCTTCCTTAAAATTTTTTCACATAAATTCGTCATTAATGATAAAAGGTAGACTATTGTACGTATAAATATGTATACATATATGATTATTGATTTTTTTTTATCTTCACACCTGCTCACGAACATTTTTATCAATATCAAATAAACAATTTTAATTTTATTCTATAAAGATAAATGAAATGTATTTATAAATGAGTATCAATTAAGGAAAACTAATAAACTTAAAAAAAAGAAAAAAGATTTATATTGAGATATCTTCTAAATATTATGAAATAAATAAAAAAAATCATAAGAATCATATTTTCTTTTATCATTTATTACAGTGATTCTAAAAACCATATAAATATATTAAAAGATTCTATTTAAAATAATTATAAAAAGTTATTTTTACACGGCAACTTTGTCATTATCTCGGTTCAAGAGATCGTATTTAATTATACTAAATAATTTACATACCAATATAATAAAAAAATATTCCACGACACGCTTAACACAAGTTCTACATCGTCACACTACATACTTAACGTTAACAGTTTTTCATTCATAAATCTTTTCGCTATTGTATTTACGTATGTTATTGGACGAGATACGAGAGACGCTACGTATGTAGTCAGTAATGTGATTACACAAACTTGTACTAAGGGTACAGGTGATTATTTTATTGAATATTTTCTTTAATTGCTATCAATGTATGTGTATCTTTTTTATATTGTTTATAAAGGTAATTAAATTATTTCTATATAATATATCCAGTATTCAGTGATAAATATATTTTTAAATATATTTATGTGTGTGGATGTGTGTGCTTTACCCAAACTAGCTTAATTTAAAGCTGTTGAGATTTAAACGACCTTTGGTATAGTTTTATTGAAATAACTATTAATACAAGAAACATACTTTCGTGCCACTAAATAGAAAATTGTCTTAGACAATCTTGTTTTGTATTTCAGAATTAAAATGAAAGAAATTTTATTTCTATTAATATTTTACATTGACATTAAATGAGAATTAAACTTGATATATATATGTAGTTATAGTTAATAATTATTTAGACATAAAATATATTGCAGACACTCCGGAAGTAATCAGTGACATAGCCAGTTAAAAGTATATTATGATTTAGCAAAGCGGATATATTAAGGATGTACAGATTTGAAGAGGCTTTTACAAACAAATTGACCAATTATTGTTTATTATAGGTAAATAATCTTTTTTGGTAACTTATTTTTATTGTTGTATGATGACTATATAATTATTTTAAAATTAAATAAAATTCATTATTATTTATTTCAATTTGTATTGTAAAATATATTTTTCGTTTAAAAATAAGTAAACGACGAAAATTTCTCAGCATTTAATGTATTCACGGTGCGTGTGTCGGGTCCATCGTTGTAGTGAGAGGAGCTTCAACAGTGACTGTGACTTGCGACCCAGGTGTAGGTTTTAGTGGTCCCTATCTAAAGCGCGTTATACGCTCACCTCTACCGTCCAAGCTCCTCTCTATCTAACCAAGTTTGAGACGAACCTATACGGCTGCCTCCATTTATTCATTCAACTGTATTTATTATACATAATACATTTATGTATAATAATAACTTAATTAAAAATAATTAAAAAATTATTTCAGTAGTTATATACAGTCAGTTTTTGTTCATCACGAAACAGTTACACAGACAAAAGAACAGTTTTTTTTTGTATTTTTTATTAAGCCTTGACTTAAAAATAGGCGTGTTATAAGTTTGATACCGATGTCTGTCTGTGGCATGATAGCTATCAAACGAGTGCGACAAATTTGAATCGGCCTTTTTATTTGAAAATGAGATTTCTTAGTAGGTTATAAACTTATAACCATGTTTGGTTAATATATCCAGTAGTGTATAAGTAATTTTTCAAAACGATGTAAAGCATTTTTTAAATACCTTTTTTGACAAATTCTTATAATTTATACACGAAATTAACTTATAAATGGTATAAGAATAAAAATTAAATAAAAGGTCACTGAGAAACTGATATAATTTTATCGAAAAAATTAAAAGAACCTGTTTAAATTAACATTTATTTATCACAAGGAAGTCATGAGGTTCTATTCCTGATTGCGTCTCTAAATTTTACAAACACGTTATTAAATACTCGTATTAATTCGTTTAAGAAAAATAATAAAAAAATCTTAAAAAATAAATCGATTAGGTATAATTGGAAAAAGAGTCCAAAAATAAAAAACAAAGTCTCGGTTACAATGTAATAAAGTCGAAAAATTAACAATCCATTTAAATTTTAATATTACATAATATTCGTTTTATAACAAAGTAAATGACAAATTTATTGCCATCTTTTTTTTATTTTTCATCAATTACCTAAAATAGCTATCGAAAAAAAAAGTGAATTCAAATTTCAAACAGATTAATGTACATTATACAGGGTGACTGGTGAATTACTATCGATATTTGAGGACGTGATATTTGACGATCATATATGACGAAATAAAAATTAATATAACATAAATATTAATAAACTTCTAAGTAAAGTTAACCAAAAGTTGTGAAATTAATTACGCATCGTATGAAGACCCTACAGATTACTCTACACTACACACTCACACATACGCGCGCGGCAGCGTGTTGTTGTATCAGCACGCCGCCGCACGCGTCCACACTAGGAACACTTGGAACGTGTACACACTTTATTTATTTATACGGAAATTTGGTCAAAAATTAAGTACCTATTTTTTTTACATAATTCGAATGAGAATCATGTACCGAGTATGCTCCTTAAATATTGATAGTAATTCACCAGTCACCCTGTATACCCATCAAACAAAACCTTGAATACAACAAAAATAAAGGTAATTTATATTTGAATGCAGACAAAAAATATAATTGCAGTATTCATCACTTTCAAATTTTTATTATATAACAATTTTTTTTAATACTAGTTTCGCCCCCCACTCCGTTTAACTTTGTCATTGGTCTCAGAAGTTTAAAATAAAGGATTTGGCAACCAAATGTCGGCAATATGCACATTGCACATTCTGTTTCATTTGACTTCTTACAAAATAATCTGTTTTCACCAAATTCGGAATAAATTAGACGGAATTACAGTATAATGTATAGCTTACGTCTTACTCTAATATATAAGGTACATTTCTGTTA